AATTCTGAAGATAATCCAACCGTTAAGTCCAATTTTCCATGGCTCGTTCCAGTATTTCAACAGTAACTGGCGAAAGACATGCGTAATGTTTCGGTCCAAGGTCTGAATAGAAGCGGGTTTGCCCGCAGAAACTTTAGACTCTACATATTTCCCACAGGAAAAAGTCTAACGGTGTGATAACATACCATCTTGGTGGCCAATCGAGTGGCCCAAACCGTGAAATTATCTATTCACCGAAGTGTGCTCTCAATAAATCCCTTAAATGATGATGATGTGCGGGAAGTGGCGTCGTTTTGTTGAAACCAAATGTCGCCGAGATGACGAGCTTCAATTTCTGGCGTCAAATCGTCGGTTATCATGGTCGCCATTGATGGTTACATTCTCACCGGCATCATTTTTGAAGGATGAACCGATGATTCCATCGGCTCACAAACCACAGCAAACCTCCCTTTTTTCTGGATGGAATGACATCCCTTGAATCTCTTCAGATTACAATAGCGGCAATTTTCTTTGTTTACATACCCATTGAGCCAGAAATGGTCCTCATCGCTGAACAAAATTTGGCTCGAAAGCATCGGAGCTTCTTGGAACTTTACAAGAGTCCATCAACCGAAGCGATGTCGCTTGCTGTGTTTTGTGTGAGTCGAACAATTTTTAGAAGTTGTGGAAATGTAAACAACACAATATGTAAGAAAAAACCATTGAAAAAAGTGCTTCTACTTGGATCACCCGTTATATATATAACCGCGATGTGGTATTCGGCCGAACCCCTGCTCCGATTTGTGATATGTATTTTGATGTTTTTCCAACAAAAGAAGAGAGCTACAGTTCATTCTGAGCCGCCTCCGAACGGCTGTTGGATTTATTTTAAGTCAGAAATACACTAGGATGGTTTGACATTTCCTGCCGAGACTAGAGAGCTCGAACACAAGCTGTCTGCTTTTCGACGCCGAGTCATCCTTGTGTTCTTTGACGAGCGTGTAAGTTTCTTTGCTACAAAAAGCATAGTCGATATGTGGGCCTCAGAGTGTACGCACGACTGGAACGCAGCATGCATATCTTCTATATCTTCCATCATTGAGTGGGCGCAAATAAGCGATATAATGAATAAATGCACTTTCTTGTGGATCGCGGCTAGATGTTCCTCCATTGGGGCGACATAAACTCTTTCCCATCACGGATATGGCACCGAATTCACAATTTCCCAATTAAGGGACCTCCCCACAGTTCAACAGACGCAGCAAAACGACTTTAATGAACCCTTAAATCCAATATGTAGGAGTGGTTAAACTGAAGCTATTACCATTTTAGCCGAGACCTAAGGTCTCTCATGAATTTGTTGCCACACCTCGCCCAAGGACTGCACGTTTGTCAAAACTGTAGGAATGACTGTATTTGCATACCCTGACACAAGACAACGCTCAGTTGCACTATAATTACTAATTACTTTTAGAATATGTGAAGCAATAATGCTCCAATTAGACTGAATGAACCAAGCTCCCGAGACAATAAACTGCATATTTTGTCTCATTTGAGGAGCGTCTTGAACCGAATTAACCCAGGCCACTGCCAATTAGCGAAGTAATCAAACGTGAAAATATTTCTTATTAAATAAGCAATATAAATGTACAAAACTCCTAATGATTGCCATCAAATGATCCAACTCAAACATCTCAGTCGCGCAACCAAACTCTCTGTCCACAATATTTTCCTTGCTGCGCGTCTTATTTTATTCTGTTTGGTGGGTTACCAGTTTCCAACTGATTGCTTTACCAATCAACATTACATAAATATGTATGTGCGTCAATTTTTATGAGGAGGAATTTTGTGTTAAAAAAGTGCGTTGATTTGCTTAATGCCCAACTTGACGGTTAAAAGTTTGCTCGCACTGCAACGGACTTGCAATTATATTGCACTTAAGCGCATAAAAGCAAATCGCAGCATATTTCGTAAATATATTCACCTTCCTTGCTGGTTGTTAATGGGTTAAGTGAAGAGGAGAAGAAGATAGAGAAATAATATCGCAATCCAGCAGATACTCTTCGCTTTAGTTTGTTGGAACACCTTTTCTCTTGTTGTCAGCATTATGGTGAAAGGGTGGGGTAATCCAAGTGGCTGTGCCACTGAAACATGTAATACTGTGGGTATGGAGACGCTCTTGCACATTGTCTCATTCGGTTACTCGCCACTAATGAATTTATAATTTGACTACAAAATTTGTTTGTTTACCCAAACATTAACCACAGCTTGCCTTTGCCTTATTTTGGAGCCGTCAAAAGACGTCCTCCAAATTATTGCTAATTATCGAAGCCCTAGCTGATGCTGCCAAACTTTAAAATTGTTCACACAGACACTCAATTAGCTAATTAAGAGCACTTCATTAATTAAAGTACTAATTGTATCGAAATCAAATCAGAAAATGAACAATAATACGAGCTCAACCGCAATAGACGAGTGTTAAGTAGTGTTCTCTATATAGAATATTAATTTAAATAACAAAAAATTGGAAATTGTTTTGTGATTCCGGTCACTCTTTCACAGGGAAAGCCAACCCCTCCGAGTGTATTTTTGAAATAAAATAAAATAATAGAGGAACTTTTTCCTCTTAATCATAAATCATTGTAATTATCGCATCTAAAAAGAGTTGTTTAGAAAGCAATCAGATAGATTATTTAAGAGTAATTATTCTTTAGACAAATAATTTTGTACTACTCGTTTCTACGAGTATTATAATATATTCTAACAGCCAGGCTGCCATTAACTTTCTCTTAGGTTAACAAAAAATGCAGAGGGGTCTTAAACAAACTCTCGACTCTATGCGAAAAGTCCGTGGTTTGGATCCCTGGCTAGAGAGCAAACAGTCCTAAGCACGGTGAACTCTGCACATGACACGGGCACACCGCTTTCCTCGGCAAAGTATCTGCTAAGGTTAGAAGGGCCAACCGCCGTTAATTCAGTTAAATGAAACTAAATCTTTACTCCTTCTAAGCATAACAACCTCCATAAGCATAACAACCGGCGTAATAACTAAACACTGCACTCATGGCAGAAAGATGGTCTGTTTTTAAAACGACTTTTGCCGCAGCTGTTTCTCTACAACTGAGAAGGAATCAGTGGAACACTATCTCTGTCACTGACCAGCTTTCAGTGTGGTATGTCACTCTATTTCTCGGAAATTTACTCTTCGATTGACTTTGCAGGTCGAAATGCTCTTGATCGGAGTTCCGTGATTAAGTAACCTGTTAAACTAACTAGCTTACCCAACCTTCTCTCCTGCGACATTCCTTCCCAATTGACCGAACACCTGAAGGAAAAACGGAAAATTGAATTGAAAACCCATATAAGTCCGTACTGTACTGACTTCGTGACCGCAAAATATCGCAGTTAGGGTTGGCCCTTAAGCTTTTCTCATCACATGCTATAAACTAGATTGAAATTAATGAGTACACATGCTTCAAAATCTGTTTCTCTTTTCAGCGTCAAATTTGTCGTTTGTGATGAACTGCGATTTTCGTAAGTCAAACTCAGGAAATGCTGGTCCAATTCAATTAGAGCTTAAGTAGTCACCATTTCCTCAGACTTTTGATCGGCGTGGCTCATAGATGCCTAAGATGAGTTCTATAAGGTCGAACAGAAACAGAACAGGCATTCTAATTTTGTTTAAATTTCTGGAATTTCGTTTAAAATCTGACCTGACCTACAGGTACTTCTGGGATCAGGTAGGCTACATCTAGTCCAATTTTCATGCTGAAAAGTTAGTTCCAATCGTAATAAAGAGGTAACTTTTCTTTCAATACTACTATTTTATGCCTTTTGTGTTATTTCTCTTTTTTTGCATTCGTGAATTGAGGAATTCTTAAGCCGACTCGAGAACTAACCGGGAAAGTGAAAAAAACAAGACAATTCGACAGTTCGAAGGAAGTTGTCCCTAATAATTTATCCAGTTTGCTTCCAGGTACAATAATAAAGACATTATTAATGATCTTAATAACTTTTGTCATTTGAACTAGAAACCAGAGAAGGTGAACCAAGCTAAGGAGGCGTTATTCAGAAGCCAACATTTGAGTTGAATGTACTTTTCAGAAGTGGAATAATTTTGGAAAGCAACAAATACGCTCAAGGACAATGGAATAAAAACTTTTATTATCTACATACTTTTTCTTGGTTTTGTTTTTTCAGTCAACCGAGTAATTAGGAGATTTTTCACAAAGCAATTAACTGAAGGCCATAACTACTTTTTCAAAAACTTTTAATTGCGTAAGTGCGCCAATAAAATTGGAACACTTTCGCTTTTTTACAATACTCTCAAATAAATATACGAACATTTTCTTCAACTAACGCGAGCCTAGAGCTGTAATTATCATTGCGGCATTGATTAAATCACCCACCGAAGTATGATAAACAATTTCAAGCTCTAATAAACTTAATTGAGAGACATTTTTAAGGCAATTAAATGCGAGCTTCGAAGCTCGACTCAGCGTAGGGTGGCAAATGAAATAAAAAGTGAAAGCGAAACGGAAGCAAATAAAAATATATAAATGAAAGGAGTGTGGGAGAATAAGAAAAGAACGAATGTTTAAGTGCACAAATTGCCTAAAAGCAAAGCAAAAAGTTTGATTTGGAATGAGAGGGATGATAGCATAAAATATGGCCAACGAAAGAAATTAAAAGACGAAAGTGAATTGGGCACAATTAAATTGCGAGGGAGTGAAGTGGAAAAAAAGTTAAATTTTATGTTGAAACTTTGGTCATGGCTGAATGGAAATTAGCATTTGAGCGCGAGTGAAAGCAAGAGTAATAGTAAAAAGCGGCATAAAGTGGCATTAAGTGTTGCGCAAATTAATTTCGGTCAAGTTGAAATGATGTGTATAAGTGGACTTTTAAAGTGGGAGGCAAATGCTTAAGCGAGTTTTTGTTTTTTTTTTTTGTTTGATATCTCAGCGAAACTCAATTAGAGCTTAGCAAGTGATTATCGAGCAGAGTTATTAAATTAAGAGCTCTGCAGCTTGAAAAAAACTTAAAAGTACATTTTTATTTCCTTTTCACACAAAATTTTGTTTGATATAAAAAGTTAAAATAAGTTACTTCTCCCCCTTACTAACTCTGCTGTCCCTGCTGCCTCTGCTCAAACGATTGCCCTTCTCTTTGCTTGCCTGCTTCAAGCTGCTCGCTATGTCCGGCGCTGCCATTGTGACCTCAACACTTTCCATGCGCCGCTCCAGAGCATCGAACCGCGCCGTTTGGATTTGAAACATCTCCTGCAGTAGCTCACGCATTTGTGTGGTTTCATCAACGAATTGCCGCTTCTCATTCAAGAAACACTTTTTCGGCACAAAATTCTTCTCCAACTCTTGATAGCAATGCTTTTGCTCGTCAATTTTCTGCTCCACATCCTCCCACTCCGCCTTCACATGCTTCAGGTACTGAAAACGTTCATAGCACACACCGAATTCATGTTGTAAAGTATTTCGCCAAGCCTCCAGTAGACATACCGCCTTCTGTAGTTCCAGTATTTCTCGTGACTTTTGACAGAGGCGAGCACGCAAATCTTCTATTTGATCCTTGGCCACATTGCAACAGCGTATGAGTTCATTGATTTGACACTGTAGCTTGTGATGATTCTTTTGTAGTTCACAGATCTCTGGATTGACGGAGCAGCTAATTTCGAGTTGTGGATTGACGCACGGCTCTTCCGTGCAGGTGTCCTCCGTTTTCAAGCGCAACTGTAACCTGAGTATGCGTCGCTTCATACACTCCAATTCGGCCATCACTTTGCAACAATCGAGCTCATCTTCTATAGGTAGCTCCAGCTGTTGCTCTTCTTCGCCAGCCTCTGGCTCTACATCCGGTTCGATGTCAACGTCGGACTGCGTGATGTCCACTTCTTTCCATAGTTGCTGTGCCTTCGTGCAGGTCCGCTTGTAAATGTCCAGATTTGGCATGTTGACTTGAGGGCAATAGAGGTGTTGTTATTATTTATGTTCCTTCAAAAAACTTTATTTTGTATTAAGAAAAAAATATTTTTGTACGAATTATTGGGAATAAAAAATTTGTCAGCATAATTTGTTTTTAAAAATCAGAAATATAAGCTTTGAGACACATAGTAAGGTGAAACATTTAGAGCGTGTGTATAGTTCAAAAATACGAGACGGAGTTATTGAAATCCTATATTGGTAACTCCAACCAATGCATAGAATGAAAGAATTGAAATAGCGGACCGTTTCACCGTTGGTGAACTAAGAATAGCTTACGGATCAAATAGATCTGCGTTGCCAACGTATCGACAACGCTTGAACGAGCTCACTCTAGCATGTGTAGTAGATAGTCAAGATCTGGGCTCGAATCGCGCAGGCTGTTTGTTCGCTATTTTCATAGCTTGGACAGAACCCGCTTATGTAGGTTCGATTCGTCGGGCATGCTTTCAATCGAGCATGTTCTTCAAAGAGGATGATGCATAAGGCATATGAGTTCTTCAACTCCGTATTTCATTCGCGTGACCGTTAATCCATAGGCCCTCACCGGCTTGTTGTTTGTGGGCGATTGGTATCCGAATTCTTTTATTGTCGGGCAATGAAATATTTGTTCCATCGTCATCGAGGGGGGTATCGGGTTTGATATCTCCTAGTGTTACACTTTCACTGAAATTCAGCAGACTGAGGGAGTGTTCTCTCCATAAATTCAGTAAACTCTGGACATAAGTCACCAGATACCCTCTCCGGGTCATACAAGAGTTTTATCTGGTCTTGAAATCTTCTGTAAGTCGTCATAATTTTTCGTTGTATTTCCGAGCATTACATTTGTTGTCCAGCTTCTCATGCTCTTCATATTCAGGCATATCCTATTCCTTTTTTTTCGGCCTCTTTCTTTTCTCTTCAGCTCTCGGTATCTCGGTCGATCGCATCGTTGCGGTCTGCTTTCTGTCCGTGCGACACGACAGTTCTCACCGTACCAGCTGTGTTTGCAACCTTCTCGAAAACTAATAGTTTTGGTTGCAGCTGCACGTATTGAGCCGTCACACTGTTTCCTTATACCGCGTTGCTGACGATTTCTCTCAGAGAGCAGAAGTGAAAGTCAGTTGGGATTGCAGCTTTTCGACGTCAGATCAAATCAAGTCGATCATCCGCTTCTATTTTGGGTCTTGGAGACATTAAAGCAGCCAAACACAATTTTGGCATATTGGCAGAGGCTGCATTCCCAGGCGCTCGCAGAAAGTGTCCTTGATCACATCGTCCTTCTCTTCCGTAGAAGCATGGACGCAAATCAGTAAAATTTTGCTCTGATGCGGATTCTGGCGAGACGTTTATTCAGCGGAGTGAATGCCGGTGACAGAGTCTCTCCCCCACCACAAATTCAACACCAAATTTGCGATTCTTTATATGGTCGCTGTAGTAAATTTCACAAGAACCTTCCCGCTGTCGCTCTTATCCCATCCACCACGCTTCTTGGACAGCGGTGATGTCAGCCTTTATTCTTACGAGAACATCAACCAGCTGGGCAGCGGCACCTTCCCAATTAAGGGTGCGGTCATTCCAGGCGACCCTTAAAACATATGTGAGGGTCGTCAATAAAAGGAGGTCTCCCATCCGAGGCTTATTTCGATTTCCCATTGGAGTATATTCCTGCCCATAATAGCGTTTAATTTCTTCCTAAAATCCATTTGTCTAAGAGCAACCTCATCACAAAAAATTCACCAAAAATCACGTTTCACCTTAAAGTCCTTAAAGAATAGCAACATAGGGCATTATACTAAAATGCTGTGGGGACAGGCAAATATACGGCTCGGTACAACTCTTGCCTACTTTATTTGCTCGAATCCATTATTTGTAAAATGATATTTAAGAACTGCACTTTGTGTATAGAAATTAAGGATTTCAACCCCTTTCGGTTGTGTATAAACATACATAAATAAATAAATATGAGATTTTTGTATTTATTTTTATATATATACTTATCTAGAAATACAATAAATAATCATTTTTCAGAAAGAAATTTAATACGAATACAAATAAAGTTGAAATAGAAGTCTCTTGAGCTTTATATCGCTAATCATTAACCCTTTATGTGATAAACTTGTTTCTGCTCATACAAAATAAAGGCTGCAAGGTGTAGAGTTTCTTCACAAATATTATATTATCACCACTTTTCAAGTGTGCAGAGATTTTTAAAGCTTTAATCTGATATTCGCTCTCTTAATTGACTTAAGCAAATCTAATTAAATAAAGTTAAGACTCGGAGAACTCTTTTTCTCTGCCTTTGGTTTTCATTAAATAAATATGAGCGCCACCACTCAGCACACTCAACTCAACACAGCAAAATAGACAATGAGCTCAAGTCAGAGGCTTTGACACGCTTCAGAAGTATGCTTTTAGGCGCTTGAACGAGTTAAATGGAAAGTGGCGCAGATATTTTAGTGATGAGCTCGAGTGATTGGGAAATTTTAACCCCAGATTTATTAACGATGTAAAGAGTACATATACAAATATAAAGAGAGATGCATGTGCCTGAAAATACACATAAATATATAATAATATGTATGTATGCATACGAACGGATAATATTTCAAAATTGTTACGCTGTCGAAATAAAGTAGTGGAGGGTAAGCGTGCATGCCTATGCAGCAGTGTTGAATGAATTCATGGTGCTCATGTTGGTCTTGTTGCTGGCTGGCGACGTGTCGAGGGTGGATAAAAATTATGAAAGTTGCTTGCTGTGGACAGGCTGCGTGTAAATGATTAATGTGGTGGGTGTACTTGCTTTGCTCTTTTTGTTGAAGCTTTAATGAATTTTTGGAACTGCCGCTGACGTCCGTCTGTCTATTTTGCGCTGAACTGAGTTAGAAAAGAAACATTATTAATTATGCAGAGCTTCTAGATGGTTTTTAAAGAAAATTTAAACTTAAAAATTTTAAATCTAAAAACAAAAATATTCAATTCATACAAGCAAACCAGACCTTTCGCTCACTAAAAACTTATAACAAAAGTTGTATCTTTTTTTTACTTGAAATATATGTATGTATGCATGACAAAGATTTTCTTGCTACTGACGATTTAAGCTTCTTTAAGCAGTTTCATCTTCTTCCATTGCGTACTAAATTTTGGAAAAGCCAAGAATGTGTCTGGCAATGAATGGGAATAAGACTAAATCATCATCGAATAAACAGACGGCGCAGCCGCGTCTGGCCTGCTCAAATGCTTGTTTGCCTAATTACAATACTCAGTCTAGTGTCTATAAGATGCTAAGCAAGGTGACTGGTACATACTCGAAGACTTGCATTATTGCATGTTTAGCACCAGAAAGAGTCTATAACCGTTTGGAGCCACAACTTGCTCGATCAGTGTTGAGGCGCCAAAGAGTTCAATACATTTTCCCTCTCTCCACCATTTTTGAAGAACCAAAGCGCTCAAACAAATTCGCCTCTGAACAAAGGGAATGGTCGCCCTGCACCATTTTCAAGTTTCTCATTAGGAGGTCATCCCCAAACTCCTCCTAATACATTCATAGTCTAAAAGGAATTTAATAATATGGAATTTACTCAAATCCACCTTAAAGTGCCATTAGACTTGATAAATGCATTAATGAGTCTCATTTATTATCATCTTCCCAACTCCTAAACAGCCTCTACGTCTTACCCCCCAATAATATCGGCTTCAAATCTAAAAAGAATTACTAATAAAAGGTACCTTAAAGCAAATCGACAAGTAAAAGGTTAAGTTTCCTCTCGATGAACAAAATCAAAATTCTACAAACCGCTAATCATTCGTATTCTCTTATGTGGTCAACCCCATGATTAAAAACAACCTCAGCTGTAAAAACTTTCAATGCAAACTCTCATTCATGGGGCTTAACTTGGTAAGCTTTTTACACACAGTTTAAGGCATTTTGTCAATGTAAAAGACAAGAAAAATGAATTGTTACAAATTAGACGGGGTCTCGGACCAAAAATGTACAAACCGTGATATGAACAAAAATATTCATTATCATCAAATATGCCTCTTACAACCCACTGAGTTTGTAATCTTGCCCAGACCATTTTAAAAAATTACTGAAAAAAATTTGATTGTGGTCGCCCCTCGACAGGGAAAATTAGCACCTTTGATTTCTACTTTTGACATGACAAAAAAGTCTTTTCGTAAAAGCCGAATCACTTTTCGGAAACGACCGACAAAAGGTCTAAATTTGTGGATCTCTTTCATACTTACATGTTAAGTAACTTATAAATCCTCTGAAATTCCAGATCATATATTAGGTCAAGTAAAAAGAAATACATTATTTTCGAATTAAATTGAAGGCTTTATTTACCATTGTCAGAATTATTCGCCTTATGTCAAATAAGCACCGTTTTGCACGAAAACTTCATGCCATTTTGAAGCTAATATCATTATTCCGCTGTTATAAAATATTGGCAAAAAATGCTGGTCACTAAAGCCATCTATTGCAAAAATAATGTATTACTTTTTACTAGAACAGGCATACTGCTGCGAAGATGGATAGGTGTTGCCCAGAGAATTCAAACTTTGATTTACTTAAGCTAAAAGTTTGTACATTGCATTATTAAGACCGCCCGTGAGTGACCTGCAAGAAAAATTATACCGAGTTATCCAAACTTATTTCTATCTTCAGCATGTCAGTGGCTCGAGACGAGCCGTTAAGTTATTTACACGCCCCTTTATCACACGATGGTCTATACGCTACCATTTCTGACTGTATTTCGTATGTAGTAAACAGAACCTTTTTGGTTTCTTTTTGATTAGGCAGCCCTCGGGAACCTAAACTGTCAGCATATAATCTTAAAGAGAACTTGCCATTTACTCTCAATAATCCAAGAAATTCTTATTTTCAACTTTTACGATGATCTTTTAATATGAAGATGAAATCGCGAGAGAATTGACCAATTCTAGGAAACCAATTCACCACTCCATTCTTTACTCAGAAGCTTGGATGCATGAGGTCTTTCTAGGCTCGCACTTATGGTTCGACTTACGGACTGTTTTACTTCATTCATTTAAGGGATTTTGAAAATCATAATCATCAAAGGCCAAATTTA